GGGGGGGGGGGGTAGGATGCTCATCACTATCACCGCCCCCCACTTCTCAGGCAGGAAATAGTGCAAGGAACTGGGTCTGCCTTGAGCCACAGTCCCACTGAGGGGTGCTGACCACAAAGGCAGCCTGCCAGCCCTCATGCTGACTCTCAACCCTGACCCTGATGTACAGACAGGGGCACCACAGGCAGGAGCCACCCACACTACCTTCAGGATGGGGCTCAGGAAGGCATCTTTCTTGTGCCGGCAGACTCTGGCGAGGACCAGAAACGCCAGCACTCGGAGGGTCTCCTCACCCGTGCTCCACAGGACCACCATCCTCTGCAAAGAGAGAGATGTCACAGTGGCCTCAGCCTCCCCAAGTCCGGCCAGAGGCGCCTGTGGACACTGCTGAGAAACAGCCCCAGCCTGGAGCCTGCATGTGCAGCCTGAGGCTGACCCTGGCGGGGTGGGCACGCTTGAGGGTAGCCACCTGCACTCAACCACACAAATGGGGGGGCACACCCACCTTGAGCAGCATGCGGCACTGCTTGGGGAAGGTCAGGAAGTAGGGCACGGAGCTGCTGACATGCTGCAGGAGGGCTGCCGCCACTGTTGCCTCCGCCACGCAGGCCACCAGCTGGGGAAGCAGGAGAGATCAGCGCCACCAAACCCACTCACATCAAGACACAGAAAAGGATCAGACCACTGAACATGGCCAGGCCCCAGTGACCCAGCAGGCTCTCCCCCACCAAAACCACACCTGTATGACTGAGCTCAGGTAAGCCTTAACATCGAGCCGGAGCTTCCCCCACAGCGGGCTACTGGATGGTTGGAGCAACCTGCAGAGAACACACCCGTCCCGCCTGCGTGAGACCCACTTAGACACCCCCCAGCTGACACGCTGAGTGTCCTAAGCCATGTTCTGTCCATGACAGGACACAGGGCATGTGGACCATGTGGGAAGACCCTCTCAAGAGTGCCCGAGACCAATGCCTGAGGAGGGGCAGGTGGCCCCAGCTGGCCGGAGGGCCGAGAGCCACTGTGTTCCTGTCTGAACCCAGGGAGGCCACTTCCCCAGGGTCCCCAAAGGGCACCCACACCTGCAGCAAGCATGGAAGGCCCTGAGGTATAACCCAGGCATCACTAACCACCACTGCAACCAGGTTTTCTGTGGCCCAAACAAGCTTTAAAAAAAAAAACAGTCTCCATGTGTACAACTTAGTTTCACCAAAAACCCCAGACTCTAACCTCTCTTGAAATATGGAAAAACCTGGCAATGGCAACTACCATTCCTGGGAATTTCTCACAGGCATCGAACACCCCTCAGCATGCACAGAACTCCACACACAGTAGGTGCTCATTAAAACCTGCTGAAGTACGCCCGGCCGGGAGTGGCTCAGCGGTTGAGCATCGACCTAGGATCCCGGCAATCGGGGTTCGATTCCCGGTCAGGGCACATGCCCAGGTTGTGGGCTCGATCAGTGACTCTCATCATTGATGTTCCTATCTCTCTCTCTCCTTCTCCTTTCCCCTCTCTGAAATCAATAAAGATATATTTTTTTTTAAAAAAGAAAGAAACCCCCCAAAAAAACCCTGCTGAAGTGCACGAAGGGGCAAAGGCAAGAGGCACCTGCAAACAGCTTGCCCTGACCCAGGCAGCAGCACTCTCCACTTCCTCACAGTGACTGCGATGCGGCAGCCTCCTTCCCAGGAGGGCGCCGCCAACGCTGCCCTGATGTCCACATACTCACTGCCTGTCCCCTTCCACCCTGCCCATCAGAGAAGGCCACCTCCACATGGCTGAACCTCCCTCAACCCATCAGTCCAACCTGAGCAGCACCACCAGGCCCAGGTGATGAGAGGGCCTCTCTGTACTTCTTTCCTCCTTTGAAAGGTGTTTGGGGTGAGTTTGACCCTCTAAGGCTCTTACTGCGTCCAAGCCACGTGGCTACATGGCCCTCTCAGCCCCAGTGTGATCCCTATTCTACCAACGTCTGCTGCCCTCCACCCTCCTCCGAAGACAGCTTCTCTGCTCCATCTACCTCTAACGTGGAAGATAAGGTTCTCAAACCCAGCATCAACCAGGCTCCCGCCTGGAAATATACCCAGCACCACAAAGCAAAGGACAAGGAGAGTGCATAGAACTTATTCATCAAGACAGGAAGACAGAGAGAATTTTGACCTGGGAAAATGGGGGAACAGAGAAAAGCACAAAGCTTGCAGTCCCTGAGAAATTCTGGGCAGAGAATTTCCCTTCTCAGAGGATGGGGCCACTCCAACTGGCAGAGAGCCCAGCTTCTCCCAAGAGCCCCAAAAAGAACCCGGCTCTGTCCCCAACATCACTCTGTGCCAGCTGGGTCTAGAGGGAACTGCTAGGTCACAAGAACCTCTGCCTTCCCCACTGCAGGGCCCTAAACACCTCCCACTCCACTCCCTCTCACCTGCTGCTGTCCTTTGGGGCTTTTCCAAATAGCAGCTTCTGGAGACAGCCAAAGAGGTCTCTGATGCAGAAGGTGACCAGAGCATTGAACACTGCAATGAGAGGGCCACAGATACAACTCACAGGACAGCACATGCGACAGAGACCTATATATATATATATCCCAAGTTCCCTGGCCCCAGCTCACCAGCACTGTCTGTGACCTGGAATTTGCTGGCCTCAGCATCCTCCTGGTCTCCTTGGGTAGTGGCCACAGCCGCTCGGAACGCCTGCACAACTTCATGGAACAGCTTTGGAGTTAGGTGCTGCTGAAGGGGCAACAGAACCCAGAATGTTGAGGGAGCTGTTAGAGGTACTGGACAGAGGAAGAGGTAGCCAGGGCTCCCAGAATCTACCCTAGGAGAGAAGGGCACTCCTTGCCCTCATTCTCAGACACCTCATTCTCAAACACAAGGCAGAGGCTGACAGTGTTACTCAGTCACATGCCATAAATAAAGAGTCCAGAATCCTCCTAGGCAAGCAGGGAGCCCAGCTAGGGGACCAAGGGAAGGGGCCGAGGGTCCCAGATCTAAACGACGGCCAGTTGTGTGTAGCTTCTAGAGCTCTCTCTTTCTGTCCCTTCCTTTCCCGACAGAAACCATGGCAACACCCTCAGAAGAAGGGGCCCGGCTCCAGCAACTAGCAAAGGCACAGAGACCATATCCTGCCCACAAGAGACTAGGTAGCAAGGAGCCACAAAGAGAAACTGAGAGCAAAGGAGCAGGCAGAGCCCTGAGGATCTCCAACTGAAGAAGAGCACAGTTCTGGGGCCTGCTACCATGAGGAAAACTACATGAGGTCCTTCGCAATACGGCTGCTCAGGGAAGGGGTCCTCCCATCTGCATAGTCCCGGGTAACTGAGCTGAGTCAGGGCAGACTCCTAAAGAGGGGAGTGGGTCCAGCTGTTCATCCCATGCCATTTCTCACTTTTGCTGCCAGCTTCCATCTCTCAACCATGGCGAGGGTCACTGGGGTAGAATCCCTCTTCTTCCCCTTGGGTCCTCTGGAGGCCCCATCCTTGTCCTCCTCACCTTCCTCCTCACTTGCTTCCTGCACCAGACACAGAGAACCAGGCTATAGCAGGATGTACAGGCCACGAGTGTAGCCCTGCCCTGCCCAGCCTGTCCAGGCCCTCACTTCCAGCGTGTCTGGCAGGGAGTGGAGCTGCTCCTCTTCATCCTCAGAGCTGTCCGAGTCGCTGAAGTTTAGCAGGCTCTGGTCATTCTCCTGCAGGAACTTGTAGAACTCAGGGTCTTTGTCCTTCAGCCGAGAAAGCTGGTCCTTGTGCTCAGATGCACGGCCTTTACGTCGGCTGGGAAGGTGGGAGTCAGTCAAGAAGTAAGATGGACAGGTAGAGAGAGAGAGAGAGAGAGAGAGAGAGAGAGAGAGAGAGAGAGAGAGTGTGTGTGTGTGTGTGTGTGTGTGTGTGTGTGTCAGGCTTCCTGTTCTTCACAATGCCAGCTTGCTGGCCTCCTGTGGGAAGACAGAGGGCTTAATCTGCTCCCTCTACAACAGCTACCGACAACTAAGGCAGGGAATTAATTTCCAGGGGGTAAGTTTTCAGCAGATGGCTCTGTCCCCCAAGCTCCAGACTCACATATCCCACAGCCTCTCTACAGGTGTTTCAGCACGTGCATTTCAAACCCAGCATGCACAACAATGAACTTGGGGCTCCCCCAAACTTGCTCTGCCCACACCCTGCTCTACCTCAGTGGTTGGTAACTCTACCTTTCCAGGCACTCAGGTGAAAGGTAAACCTCTGTCTGTCTCTCACACCCAGCATGTAATGTTATGAGACCTCACCAGCAGTATCTTTGAAACCCCTCGTCCCCTCCAAACTGATACCTCTCAATTACCCTAACGGTCTCTCCCTGTCCCTATCCCTGCGCCCACAGCCTATTCTTCACACAGCAGCCCAAGTGACCCTTGGTGTTATGTCACATGCCATTACTTCACTTACTGCGCAAAACCCTGAGACCACTTCCCATTTTACTGGGATATCTTACACAGGACCCACCTTCACCTATCCAGGTCCACCCCCAGCTGCTCCAACCCCCTCACTCGTGCCACAGCCACACTCACCTCTGCATAAGCCCTGCTCCCAGTTCAGAACCTTTGCTGTCCCTGACACCTGAACTGAAACACAACACTCTTCCCCTACCGTCTGCGTGGCTTGTTCCCTCAGGTCCTTGCTCAGTTACCACCTCTTCATATGACCTTCTCCACTCCACTTAACACAACAGATGCCCCAGCCGTGCTGCTTTTCCTTTCTGTCTACAGCACCCAGCACTTCCTGACCCACCCGAGGCCGCGTGGGCCTCCCAGACCAACGTACGCCCGCCTCCTACAACCGGGCTTGGCACCGAGTGGCCGCTCAGTAAGCACCAGGTGAAAGGAAGAATGAGCCCGAGGGTCTGGGGCAGGGTCAACGGCCCCCAGGCCTCGGTCCTGAGGCCCCAGGAGCGGCCAGCGGCCCTGCGGTGGGTGTGCCAGGACCACGGAGGGAGTTTTGATTACACACGCCCACGGGTGACGCGCCGCTCACCTGGCCAAGGGGCTCCTGCCTGGCCCATCCGGGCTCCGGAAGGCTCCACGCGCCGCCCGCGCCTCGGCTTCGGCGGCTCCTTCGGGCTCCGACTCAGACTCGGAATCAAAGCCCGAGGCCAGGAACTCATCCACCGTCAGCTCCGCCAGGCGCCTGCGGGTCCCGACACCCGAGTCACGACTCCCGCCAGCCCGGGGTGCCCGGCCCCGCTGCCCGGGAACGCGGAGAGGCGCAAGGAGCCCCTTCGGGTACAAGCACCGCAGGGAGACCTCACCGGTCCCCAGATTCTCAACTCACCGCTTGCGACTCCGCACCACCGCCATGACCGCCTGGCGGCCGCGTGAGCCCCACTTCCGGCCCCAGAATGCCGTGCGCCAGCCGCACTTCCTCCGACCGAC